CACTTGGACCCACATCGAGGACAGTGTGAAACAAGCTTTTATGCCACAAGACGGGCAGAAAGCAGCAACTTCACTCTGGCTGTACCCTTCTCCAGAACATCACTCCATCTGAGATCATACATACCCAGGATGACTCGAGTATGGAACACATTCGTACAGCATAATGATGTCAACGAGATAAAGTCAGTTGATCAAATGAAAATGCTGGCCCACAGATAGCTCCAACTTCATCCTGTTTCCTACTTGTATGTCTCATAACAATAAAAATGCTTTCAAATGAGCTGATGTAGGTAACAGCTCTTAGCTTGCCAATAAAGTTAGGAATCCTTAACCTGTAAATAGCTGTCAATAAAGCTAGGGATCCTTAACCTGTCAAACCCTGTGTACAAAAAAAAAAAAAAAAAAAAAAAAAAAAAAAAAAAAAAAGAGAGAGAGAGAGAGAGAGAGAGAGAGAGAGAGAGAGAGAGAGAGAGAGAGAGAGAGAGAGAGAGAGAGAAAGAGAGAGAGAGAAAGAGAGGGAGAGAGAGAAAGAGAGGGAGAGAGAGAAAGAGAGGGAGAGAGAGAGAGAGCTTTCAAATGAGCTGATGTAGGTAACAGCTCTTAGCGTGCCAATAAAGTTAGGAATCCTTAAACTGTAAATAGCTTGTCAATAAAGCTAGGGATCCTTAACCTTGTCAAACCCTGTGTTAACGAGAGAGAGAGAGAGAGAGAGAGAGAGAGAGAGAGAGAGAGAGAGAGAGAGAGAGAGAGAGAGAGAGAGAGAGAGAGAGAGAGAGAGACTCACCAACCACCCAGGTAGAACTGCTGGTTCTCCTGTAGGCGACACTGTAGTGACTAATGGGACAGCCTCCGTCACTCCACTGAGCCAGGCTGACGGCCGCCCACGAGGTGTTGGCGCTCACCACGCCCTCACGCCCGCCAGCGATGGGCGGAGAGCCGGCGGTCTTGGTCCTGAGATTCTCAGAGGGCCTTCCGTCACCCACCTGTGAGTGTGTTGTAGGTCAGGGATCAGTTACAAGGAATAATGCAATACATAGAATGATACATTGACTTGATAAAACTTTACTAAGAATGATACATTGACTTGATAAAACTTTACTAAGAATGATACATTGACTTGATAAAACTTTACTAAGAATGATACATTGACTTGATAAAACTTTACTAAGAATGATACATTGATCTGAAAAATCTCTTCGCAGAACGATAAATTAACTTGATTAAGCTCTACACAGAGTGATACAATGACTATTTATTTTTAATACATGCACACACACACACACACACACACACACACACAACACACACACACACACACACGCACACACACACACACACACACACACACACACACACACACACACATTCCAAAATCGAAAGAAAAACATCTAGAAGTAATCATCACAGGGGACATATCACCACAGGATCACATCAACAGCATGACTTGGGTAACTTATGTGAGGCCAGCGAATCTCACAAAATATTTAAGGAACGTTAATGGAATAATCATTTAGGACTATACTCAAACGTGTACTTAAACGCACATCTGGTGCATCTTAGAGCACGTAGTATATTCTACATTACTCGGAAAATAACTGCCTTAAATTGTTTTATCGTTCAAAGAGAAGGGTTTTCATACTTTTTTTTAACATCCAAGGTCGTCTCCCAAAGAAGAAAACACATTCAGCAGCATTCATTCAATCGCTGTCTTCTTTTCCAAAAGTGTGCTGGCATCATATTTAAGATTACTCTCCGACTGCAATATCTCCATCGCATCCAGTAGCTTGCAGACCCTGCCCTTCAGGACTCTCATCATCTTGATTAGGTCCTCAAATGGAACAATGCATCGCAAGATAGTCTGCTAGAAATATCGTGCAAGTTTCCAGCACCTCTTAAAGTGGTAGATAGAACTCGTTGTAGGAACTTTGTCTTGAACCAAAGTGACACACCATTAACACCAAGATATAAAACATTGCATCTTAATACTGTGATTGAGGTGATTGTGTTGGCTAAATCTAAAAACGATGAAACCCTAAAAAAAGTTATAGAACCCTATATAATGTCACGGATGCTTAAACAAAATCATGAAATCCAAAATCCAAAATAAAGTCATTAAATTCTAAATAAAGTAATAGAATCCTAAACAAAATCACAGAATGCTATATAAAATCATTCAGTTCTATATAAAGTCACAGAATCATAAATAATTCGTACTCAAATTTTTTATTTCTTTGCAGAGTTTACAATGTGTGATTTACATATTATAAACTATTGTTAAGCACAAAGAAGCCAATAGTGTGCCTGAGCATTTCGAACAGACATGCAATCCTAAATAATGTCTTTAAAGTCTAGTTATTATATGGTGGAATTGTAAATAATATCCTGAAACTCTGATTAAACGCATTTTAAAATAAGTAAACATCTTGTAGCTGCTTGTAAACCTCTTGTAAACGTCTTGAAACGCTAAATGAAGTCATGGATAACTATTTAAATGTCTAGAGCTCTACACGTTATCCTAGAACTTTGAACACGTCCCTAAACTTCGAGTAAAATCCTGGAACCCAGAGATGTATAATGCGACCCCCAGGAACTCAAAGAGGGAGTAGTCACCCACCTTGTTGTAAGCCGTGACGTAGAGGTCGTAGTGGTTGCCGCAGGAGAGTCCTCGTAGCTCGTGGGAAGTCTGCGTAGGAGGTACAGTCTCCTCCTGCCACTCACCGTAGTCCTTCTTGTAGGAGACGGTGAGTCCCAGCAGCGGTGCTCCCCCGTCGTCACCCGTCCGCCACGCTACTGTCAGCGTAGTGGCTCCTGTCCGCGTCACGTGGATGTGTGGAGGGAACGGCGGGACTGCGAGAGAAAATGGGATTGGATTGTGGATCTGCAAGAATAGATTGTGATGGAAGAACAGACGATGATGAGGGACAAAATTGGAAGAGACGGTGAAAGGAGAAACAGCGAGAGAAAGATGGTGATAGAAGGTGGAACTGAAAGAACAGGCGATGTTGTGATAAAGTACTGAAAGAGGACATAGCGATAAGAGGTGGACATAGAGAAAAATGGAAGATGATGAAAATGGGAAGATAAAGAATAAAAGAAGACGGGAAAAAACTGGAAGAATAGATGATGATGAGAATAGGATATACAAGATAAGGAACCAAAATAAAAAAAAAGATGATGGTGGAAGGTGTAATGAACAGTAGAGTATATTTTGCGAAGTACTAAACCCGTGTGAGTAATTATTTTTTATTAAATGGAAGAAGAGAAGATGATGAAAAAAAGAATTGCATGATGAGATGATAAGACGAGAAACTGGAAGAAGAGATGATAGAACGAGAACATGGTGAAAGTTAAAATAATGGAAGGAGGAACTGGAAGAAATTAGGATGGAGTGGTAACAGAAAACAAAGCGAAAAAGAAAAGATAAGATGGGGTATGAAGAAGGATATAAAGAGTGGAAATAGGAAGAGCAACGGCCAAGAAAGACAGCATGTAGAAGATGATGGATGCTGACAGGAGACAAGAAAGAGAATAGGAGCAGAAAACTGTAAAAAGAGAAAGGAACAGCGAAGATGGTTGAAAGGAGCTTTTTCCCTCGACTGTGAATGTCAAAACCAGAAGAAAGATGAGAGAGGAGAGAGAGAGAGAGAAAGAGAGAGAGAGAGAGAGAGGAGATGAGAGAGAGAGAGAGAGAGAGAGAGAGGAGAGAGAGAGGAGAGAGAGAGAGAGGGAGGGAGGGGGGAGGGAGAGAGAGAGAGAGAGAGAGAGAGAGAGAGAGAGAGAGAGAGAGAGAGAGAGAGAGAGAGAGAGAGAGAGAGAGAGAGAGAGAGAGAGAGAGAGAGAGAGAGAGAGAGAGAGAGAGCGAGAGAGTTTATCCATTTCGGAAAGATTACTTAATGTACCCATGGGAGTCCTGCTCCTCAGATCCAGCAATTAAGAAGGTAAACATCGTAAGAGCTCCTTGGCAGCGATTTGTCTCTGTCACCCGGCCTGTCTGTCAGCTGACTCGTTTGTCAGTCAGCTGGTCTGCGTATCAACTGATTCGTCTGTCACAGCTGATTCGGCTCTCAGCTGGTTTGCATATCGGTTGATTCATCTGTCAGTTGGCCTGCACTTCACCTGATTCGTTTGTCATCTGATTCAACAATCAGCTAATGAGTGTGTCATGTCACCTTACAACAAAGTGGCGTGACCAATATAATCTTAGTGTGATGAACACCCGCCGTAATACCCTGGAGGAGGGGTAACATACCCTGGAGGAAGAGCAACATACCCTGGAGGAAGTACAACATACCCTGGAGGAAGATCAACATACCTTGGAGAGACCACATACCCTGGACTGTGAGGACGTAGGTTATATGGTCGTCACCGTAAGTGTTGGCCACTCTGCAAGTGTAGTTGCCTGAGTCCTTCCTCTGGACATCCCTCAGCACCAGCGTCCCGTCGGGGTAACTGGATACCCGCCTGCAAGGAGATGGATACCCTACGTCAAGCTTCTCTGGCAGATCACACTCAAAACAGTATACACATCCGTGAATGAAAAGATGTATTTACCCCCCAAAAATTTGTGTCTCAGTGGGTGTACAGGAAGGGAGTCCCCGTTTTATACTGCAAAAGTGTACTTTTTTTCCCAGTTTTAAAAAATTACAATTTTTTAAAAGAAAACTTATAAAAAGAATGTTCATTTTTTTGGGCGTGTCTGTTTGTTAATTTTTAAGAAAATCTATGCGCAATATTAAACTGACCTTAAAATATTAAACTAAAAAAAATTTTTTTAATAATTTCCCCTTACCCTTTTTAGAGACATTTTTTATAAAAAAATCAATAATTTAAATTAAAATTTTTGCATTTTGTTTTAAGGTTTTGGTTTGTGTGTCTTCGTTAATGGGGGTGAACGTTTTTGTGTCTTGTTGAGAGTGTAAATTTTTTTGGAACACTTTTAAAAAGCTTGGGAAAAACTGCATTCATATCCAGAAATTTGTGTTTTTTTGGTGGATGTTTGTAGTAATGCGTTTACGAATCCAACCCAGACGAAATTATTTACGAACTTTTTTCTCGGGCCCAAACAGGATTCAAACCGCAAACTGGGAATCAGAGTAACAGAGTACATCTGTACACGAGTATTTTGATGTACACACACCGGCACCGGCTCCAAACGCCGGGACTGAAGGCTGGAGTTGTGAAAGGTATGTTAACCGATGCAGGGGTTAAGTCCCGTGTGAGAGGATTTTGTAGTAATAAGTAATTTTCTGACCTGAATTAACGGGAGGTTAAACTGTCAAGAGTGAAGTTATATGATAATAAAAAATATTTTTTTTTATTATTATTATTATCATGTGGGCGCTAAAACCTGTGGGATTTTGAGGCACCTGTGTGGGTGGATGGCGTGGGTTTGAAGGATTCGGCTCAGTTCGGGAATGGGCACAGACCATTCCCGGATCAAGAGCCCCTTCAGCATCAAGGAACCTCCCTTGGGGGGAACCCCTATTTTAGCGAAGAAAATATGAAACCTGAAACCACAAATGCAGCATTCCCTCGCTGTAGGATCACAGGACCCGATTGCAAAATTAATATGGCAAAAACCCTATGAAAAAGTCATTTTCATATTTTTTTAGTGTATTTGAATTTTCCCATTAAGACAAAAAATACTCTCTAAAATGAGATAAAAAAAAAAAAAAAGTTCGCCTTTTGTAACAGGCTCGAGTTCCCCTTAAAACCGGGCCGAGGGCGTCTTATTTAAAGGGGAAAAGCATGCCTTGTATTATTATTTTTATTTTTTATTATTTAATATTAGTATTATTTTTGTTGTTTTTTTTGGTTGTTTTTGTTAATGTTGTTATTACAATGAAAACTAAGCGCTAAAAACCCTATGGGTTTCAGGGTCCCTGTCTTGTGAATCGTGAATTTAGTAAATGTTTTAAAGAAATGCGTCCTTGGGCTTAAACGTTGACTATTATTTTATTTTTTTAATCAAGGGGACGGTAAAACCGGGGGATTTTTCAGGCCCAAACGTTGACTAGATGTCCCCGAACCTTATTCAGCAACGAACACAACAACCCAGTGGTTACCTGGGAGGATCGTTGAAAGGGTGTTGTCCCGTCCAGGAACGGGGGGCGGGGGGCTCCCCTACTGCCCACATCGCAGGCTGGGTCCTCCCCAGTGTCAGCAGCACCCCGCCCCAGGATACCACCCTCGCTGCCACTGTGATACGGGAGGAGACGGGGAAATGTGAACGAGGGCGAGTTTACACATCCAAAAAGGGTGTTATGGATAGTGACAGAGGCTTGTAAAACCTTCTCATATACTCATTCACGGTAAAGAGTTGTAAAAAATAGAAAGTATAGATGGGTTGAACAATTCATACGTGCTACAAAATGGAAAGGAAACCAAAGAAATTTCGGTCAGCAATGAACCGATAACAATCAGGGGGGACGAAAAAGTCTGTTTTTGATTAGATGGCTAGAATTCTTTTTTTGTGCTCCAAGTGCTACAGCCAGGAGCATCGTGCCTCCTTGCCCGCCGGGGTTTTGACAACGGTGAGAGGTGGGGCCCTTTACCTATCCTGGTGCTGGCTGACCTTTCCCCCTGCCGTGCCTGGTCTCCCAACACTCATTCGGTTTGTGGTCGGCGCTCTCACAACGAACCTCTGAAAGAACGTAGAAGGTTATTTTTTATGCCGGCAATAGGGATGAAAAAACCAAGTGCACACCCCAAGCCATTTTTCTGGCCTTATCGGTCTTGGGTTCTTTAGACTGTTGATAAGCAAGGTTCCAGGACCGAAAATCCCTTTTGCATTGTGCCTTTCGTCTGACCCTGAAAGGAGGAAATATCGTGTGTGTTTTGTGTTGGGTTAATTGTGTAGGGGAGGGGAAGAGGAAAGGGGAAAAGGGAATGAGAAGATGAAGTGAAAGGGGGAGAGATAAGGGGAAAGGGGGTCTGGAAAGGGGTTATTACGCTAGTTGCCTTTGTGAAAAAGGGCGTTAGGGGGAGAATTTTTAGCTTTTCAGCCAAAATTTTTCTTAAAAAAAAACCGTATTAATTAAAAGAGAGAGGGGGAGAGAGAAAAGGAGAGAGGAGAGAAAAGGGAGGAGAGGGGAAAGGAGAGAGAGGGGAGAGAGAGGATTCGAGACGAAGACTACAGGTAAGCCCCAGGGAAGTGGGGGACAGGCAAAGAATAGTGGGTTTTAAAAAGGAATGTCTTAAAGGGTGTAGAAATGAGCCGGGCCAGACCCAGCAGCGGGGGGGTTGTAAAGGCAGGGGAAAAAGAGGCGGGTTTGAAGGCCGGCTGTACTGCTTCTAGTCTTGATGTTGATTGGGGGTTAAATGGACGAAGGGGGGCTGGGGGAGAGGGGGGTGGGTTTTGGGGATGATTTGTAGATTTGAGGGGTGTTTTAAACGAGTTAGTGGGTTAGTTGGAATAGTTGACTATTTAAAAGGGGTTTTTTTAATCTTTCATTGGAGTGATACTACAAGGGGCAACCCTTTTAGTATTATATCTGGATCTTCAAAGCCTAGTAATATGTCCCAATATTTCAGAGAGCGTTTGAGGGACGTGTGTCGGCGGGGGAAAATTGATTTTTTTCCCCCAGGTGTGTGGATTAATTCTCCGGGGTATTCGGGGACTTGTGGCAGTTGTGTGGGAAGTAAAAGTATTCCTTTGACGTAAATTGGCGGTCTTCCGGGTCTGTTGGATGATGTGATAGGTGCGGATGAGGGAGGTTGGATTGGTCCCCGAGTAGAGGCGGGGAGATCAAGGTGGGGCAGTAAATCGCTGATGGTCTACGCGGTGGTGTTAGAGTTCTGGTGGATACGTGGTCCTGAGTGGGTAACGTCCCTTTTTGAGGGAAAAACGGGGGTGGAGCTGTAGCTTTAGATGGAATTCCAGGTGTTTTGTGACATTTGCTAAGCCTTTGGTGAACTTAATGATTCGGTAGAAGATGGAGAATTAGGAAAAGAACTTTGGGATGTTTTTTCATGTGGAAGAGTTCGTTAAAAAATTTGATTTGAAGGAACCTGGTTTGCCTGTTGTGCATTTGTGCATAATCAGCAGTACTGATTTTGTAGAGTTGGGATGGAAGTTTGGGAGTTGTTAGGATGGTGTTGAGTGCAGCCTCTCTAATTCTCGACTGTATTTTGGTTATGGCAGCAAAATTTGGCGTTTTTGGGTTGCTCTTTTGTTTCTTCTTTGAGTTTCTTAGTTCTTCCTTCCCTAGAGGGCGTTTTGGTTGCAAGGGGGATTGCGAGTGCCCTTGCAGTTGGGCAGGTAGGGTGGCTTGGTGTGGAAGGCCCGAAATCGTGTTCTCTTTGTGCGTTGGAAAAGAATTTCTTATGGGGTGTTGGGGTTTGGATGAGGGTTTTAAAAATGTTCCGCAGGGAGAGAGTGGGGCCGAAACGTTCTGATTGTATTTGCCATGGTGGGATGTGGTTTTTATGAGATGGTGGCCATTGCGGTGCTCTAGAGCCTTTTTATGTCGAGAAGGGGGGCTTTGACCTGGGGAGAAAGTGTTTGGGGTCCTGGTGATGTTTTTTCAATCGATGCCCCCAGAGTTTTGTTCTTCGTTGGGGTTTCTGGTCAGCAGTCGGTAGGGAAGTTATAATCTTGTTCGGACGGATAAATTAACAAAAGTTAAAAAGCCTTTTAGAGAACTTGAGTTCAAAAGAAAACAAAAACTTTCTTTATCATGAAATAACTTAAAACTTACCGTCTACGATCAGGAAAATTTAAATCTAGGAGCCCTTGAAAAAGAGGGTCGGCCCCCAACTCCTTCGTTGACCCTCGGGTTTTCTTCACATAATAGTAATATATCCAAAGTGTGGTAAGGAGGGGACTACCTTTACTTCCCCACCCCTGATAGTTTTTGGTATAGGTGAGCAGACGACCGTTGCTGTTTTGGGAGGTGGAAGCCCGGAGCGCCCCCCTCTTGGTCGCAGATGCTGTTCACCCTGCTGGTGGCCCGGCACTGTGGGGGCAGGCACCAGCAACAATAATTAGGCAAAAGATCTGCTAGTGTTATTGTGAAGATTTTTTTAGATATTTGTCATAATACCGTTATTGCTGTTTGTTTTGTTATTAATTAATTAATTGCTATTGCTACTACTATTTTCCTCCGTCATTACCACATATCAATTAAGAGCAAAATTGCTATCCCCACCACAAATTAAAAATTTTAAATTTAATGGTTATAACTGACATAATATTTAAAGGGGAGGCCCGGGAAAACCCAGCGGAACGCCTCGTCAAATGTTCAAAACCTCCAACGGCGGGTCATCATCTGACTAAGCCCCGCGTCAGGAAAAAACTTGTCCTGTTTCCTGACAAACCTTACCCACTACAACTCCCATTACCACCATTACTACCATCCCATCACTACCACAATCACTGCCACCGTCACTATCCCCAAATAGTTGCCACCGCCATCGATAACATTATCATTACTCTCCTCTTAGTTCCTACTAACACTCAT